GTAGATGATGTATTTGCAATAACAAAATCGAAAGACGCTGAGTATATATTAACAACATTAAACGCACAACACACGAAGATACAATTTACTGCAGAGAAGGAATCAAACAACAAAATAGCATTTCTGGACGTTGAAATACATAAGCGACAAAATGACATGAAATTCAAGTGGTACACTATATCGATCGCATCGGGGATAAGTCCAAAACAGATTCAACAAAAGAATTGTTTCTAGCTACCGAAAAAGTTCTTGTACCATCATTAAGACACATAAAACCCACTTTCCTAATATCATTAAAAATAAGCTTACCTTTGAAATTACAAACCAAAACCTATTTTTTGCATTGAAATCACCCAAAATGAGTAAGTTATTAAATTTTGCCAAAAAAGATAGAAGTCTATTAATCTCATACCCAAAATTACTAGAATTAATACTAGGGGGAAAATATGCAGATCAGATGACAAAGTTGTCATCTAAACTCAAAGTCCTAGCAATAATAATATCATGATAATAATATGTTAAAATAAATCAATTTATTTTCACACTTTTGCTCATCATGCGAAAAAATCTCTTGAAGGGCAACAATATCAATATCATTGAGATCAATATAAAAATCAATAAAACTTTTGTTAGCCTTAAGGCTTTGGCAATTAAGCTGTAATATCTTTATCTTTTATATCATCAGTTATAGAAGCTCTGACCAATCGGTCACTAACATTAACTTTACACAAATTACCCAATAATCTAACTAAAGGATCCTCAGAATTAATTTGAAATTTCTCAACTAACAAGGCCAAAATTCTTTCCAGTTCAGAAACTCTATCCCATTTATCTCTGTTGAAAACCGGAGTAATACCTTCCTTGTTAACATTATGCTGTTTATTCACAGTCTCTTTGGAAACTGGCACACTCTCTTTAAAAATCACATTACACTTAGTTTTTGTTAGTCTTCTATTAGTAATAATTCTATTATTTTGTGTCATATTAGACCTCTTATCCATAACCGGGAAAGACCCATCAAAATTCTCCAAAAGTGAAAACCGATTATTTGTATTTAAAATATCTTTGTAATTGTCATACACTTCTTTTTTTTGAGAGTTTATTAATGGTCATAATTTCAATAACCTCTTTTTCTTTTGCCCATGCAGGGCATTTATTTTTATTTAAAGAGACATGATCCGTATTACCACATAGTATACATTTAGCATCCTCCTCATTACATTTATTAACACACCTTTCACTTTTCCCACACAAAATGCATCTAATTTGAGCTCTGCAGGACAATTTAGTATGTCCCAACCGCCCACAATTATAACACTGTTTGGCTCTTGGGAAGAAGTGATTAATTTTAAAATTAACAGATAGAATTTTGACTGATTCAGGAAGCTCACTCCCAAGAAAACCTATTTTTAGCGTAGGAACAAATCTATCACGATTATTAAGATCACGCCTAGTAATTCTTCTCACAGAAGAAACAGGAACACACGAATCCAAATTATCACGAATTTCATCCTCAGTAAAATCAAGTGGGATCAGCCTGACAACACCATACGTTTCCACAAAATAGCGAGGGATAAAAACCATAATCCCCTTTTGTTTAAGTACATCATGAACAACACTTTCATTAGCATATTTAGCATTTTCAAAAAAAAACTTTATATAAGGATCTTCCAACTGCCATAATATTGATAATACCGTGAACATTGAATTTACGAACTTTTTCTAATAAGAACAAACCATTCTTCGTATGTTTATTTTCAAAAAGATTACTATTGGACGTATCCATAAGCACACAAAATTCACCTTTATATGTGTCTGTATAAAAGACAATTTCCTTTGGCACATCTTTATTGGTACAACCATCACCAATTAATTTGCCACCACTGTCACTCACAGATAATCCATCATCTCCTTCCAAAACTTTTCCTGCACTTAGTTCAATTTGTCTTACTTTAATATTACCTCCCCTCAACTCACTATTCAAATTCATCTCACTATCTCCTACACAACCACCATTTTCCAAGCATCGAAAATGTTCTCCTTTGTTGCCATGACTTCCTTCATTACCACAGACCGAAACGCCATTTTGAAATGTTTCCCCTGAATTTAAATTGACGCCATCGCCGCCATCATTAAAAACACCAGCGTCAGTTCGACCACCATTTTGAAAAAAACAGCGTGTTATTAAGAGAGCTCCTTGGAATAAGCATCCCTTGCAAAGGAATCTTATTAACCTGAACTCTACCATCCTCATCCGAAAAACCATCCCCACTTTCTATATACGTGTTATTTTTGAGCCTCTTTCCCGAGGCCTTATTACTCTTTCTCCTAGCCCTAGGCTTGACTGAGGACCCACTCACATCAGGCAGCAAATCCCCAGCCATGTCCACATCACCAGACGCCGAAGCGTCCATCTGTACAAACCAATGCTCCAAACACCACAATTAAATATATGTAAACTGCTGTTAGGAACTTACCAAAAAGAAAGAAACAATCTTCTTCCACTTCCAAGAATTTCCTGTACGCAAAACGAATATAGTTAAAAAACTACAAAAACTTATCTTGAAATTCACAAATTATTAGCCAGTCATAAATTGAGAAAAAAAAGGGGTAAACTTTCCAATATGGCCGTTGGTTAAAGGGGCGGGGGGCGGAGGGGGAGGCGTGGCACCTCCTACCCCCCTTTTTGGAAAGTGCATGAACCGCCATTGACAAAAATGCAACCCCCGACCACCTACGCCCCCTATAGCTCCCCAGGGAGCCCTTTAAAAAAGACCAAAAAATCACCATTTTCACTTGCGTTTTCACTTATTTTAAGAAACTGAAGGCACTAACTTTTACCAAAACGCGTGAAACACTTGGAATTTTACTAAAATGTATAATTAAACTATTTAAGTTAATATTAGCATTAATAAAAATAATATTTCAACAATATGTTACAAAATCAGAAACCGATACGAATTTACAGCGCAATAGTTATTAACGTTGAACTGTCAAATGGCCGAATGAAGAAGAGGCAAGTAGAAAGAAACGCATGTAGCAAAAGGAAATTAACAATTGGAACAAAGTAAATATATGTACGTATGCACATACATGTGTATAATATCAATGTACCTAAGAATTCGAAATATAATAAAAAGAAAATATTTGGCTGTTAGAAATGTTTATTCAAGCTTATAAACATATTTAACAGCTTCAATTAAA